AGGATAAGCCCTCCCTCCTCACACAGTGGTGGTGGTTGTGATAGCCTTCAATTGTGATGTCATTTATGTAAAAGGTACACTTGGTTGGCTCTGTTCTCACACCGAGAGATGACTCAGATTCCTGTTGCCTAAAGTTTGAGGATAAACTTTCTATCCATTGGCCAGTCTGTGGCAGTCCACACTTATAATCCCAACACTTGGGAGTTGGAGGCAGGAGAGTCAGAAATTCAAGGTTGTCCTTGACATAGTTGTGTTTGAGGCAGGCCAGCCTTTGATACAGGAACAGGAGGACCCTATCTGAAGAACCAAAAATGAGCAAGACACTAAGAAATTCTCAGAGTAACAGGCTAGGGAAATGTGTTGATAGTGTAACAAGCATTAGGAACTGCTTTTGCGATAAAGCATGAACTCCTCTCTTCAAACCACAACTAAAAGCAGGGAAGGGCAGTGAGAAAGATGGCCCAGCAGTTATAAGTTCTCAATGGCCTGTGACCTCTGACCTGAGTTTAATCACACATGGAGGAAGGCAAGAACCAACTCCTGAGAGTCTCTTCTGATGTCCCCATGTATGTTGTGGCACTCAAGTGAATTCACTCACAAACATTCTCTCTCTTTCTCTGACACACACACAAAATTAGTCTTCTTATCACTCCCCTCTGAGGCTGAACTGAGGCATCTAACTGTCAGCTTTTTCATGCCTCAGCCTCCTGAAAGATTCCTAAAGTTCACCGTGAACTCATGGAACCACCTGAGAGTCCAGAAACAAGAGTAGCTTCCAAGGATGGGCCATTGCTGCCACCAGGGGTCACTGGTTCACCACAGAGAGGTAACTCCTGGAGTAGGTGCAGTCTCTGGCTTGTCCCCTCAAGCAGTAAGGATTTCTTCAGGACACTTGGCAGAAGCAGAACTCAGGCAACTATCAAACAGCCCACCCTGCTTTTAATTACACATAGCTCTCTACCCCTGGCCCCTCTAAAACCTAAAACTCCTATCAGTACCCTAAACATGGATTAAGGGTCACTAGACCCTTTTATCTGTCCCACTTTGTAACATACATTTAAATTTATTTGTTTTTTATGTGGGTATCAACATGCATGCAAATGACAGGGTTTCTCTGTGTGGCCCTGGCTGTTGTCAAACTCAGAGATCTGCCTGCATCAGCCTCCCAAGTGTAGGGATTGAAGGTGTGTACCACCACTTCGGAGGGTATTTTTAGTTTTGTTTTTAAAGACAGGATCTCACCCTATTGTCTTGGCTGGCCTGCAACTCACAGAGATGCTCCTGCTCTGCCTCCCAAATGCTAAGATCAAAGGTGTGCACCACGTGCCTGGGCTCAGATTTAAATATGCTAAGAGGTATGCTTAAAAAGCAGCCTTGGTTAAAACGTGGTCCCTCCCATCATTATCTTCAGTCCCCCAAAGGTCATCTGACAAGCTGCCCGGACTGTGTGACATCTCTTCTTGGGGGATCAGAACTGCTCTTCCTTGCTGTCTCTCTTAAAGTGGGTTGGAATTCCTCCTGCCTCAGACTCCTGGCTGCTCTATTACAAGTGGATGCCACCATGCCCAGCACTCTTCCCTCCTTCACAGTAACTAGAAGGATTTGATGCATCTTTTATTTATGTATTTATTTTAGATTTACTTTTAGTGTCTTGCTTGCATGTATATGCACTACCATAGACATGCCTGGTGCCAGAGAGATAAACACTAAAAAGACAAATCAAGAGGCTGGAGAGATGGCTCAGTGTTCATGAGCACTTGCTGCTCTTTCAGAGGACCTGGGTTTGGTTCCCAGCTCCCACATGGTGGCTCATAACTGTCCATAACGCCAGTTCCAGGAGATCCAATGCCCCTTTTTGACCTCATGATGTGTTCCTTACAAAACCCAGTCACACAGTGCTGCCCATCCATCAAGGCATCTGCCTGGAGTGTTAACCCACCCACAGCTGAACTTGGCAGACAGGAGAAGCCCGAGGGCTGCAGCAGGGACTTACCAGATCACACCAAACCCAGGCTGGGTCCACGTGGACAATAGCCCGGACACGGTTGCCAGCCTTGGACCCTAGGTCTTGTGCCAGCTGGCCCTGGCTAGAGCAGCCCACATCTCTAATCAGCGCGAAGGTCCGAGGAGGCAGAGACCCCATAGTCCGAACGTGCACCGTGCGCCTGCCTCTTACATCACTACAGGGCGGCTCCTGCGTAGAAGCACCAAAGGCAGTCGGTTGCCAGGCAACCAGGCAGCAGCTCCTAGCTCCCAATCAACTGCCAGCTTTTGGCGGAAAGCGGGAAAAGGAGATGCACGTGGTTTGAGTGTTATGAATACAGTTTCTTTCCTCTTTCTCATTTATTTTCTTTTCGTTGCCTTCCTCTTCCCTTCCCTTAACCTCCCCTTCTCTTACACCATTCCTTCTCCTTCCTGGCCTATTCCCATCTCCTTTACTCCGTTCGGCTATGCTGATTTTCCAATGGAACAGAGTAAAAGGAGCAAGAAGCCAGCCTACCAGCCATTCACCTTCCCCAGCGAGGTTGTTTCTTGCTGCTGCTGAAGCCTTGGACATCAGACTCTAGCCCCCCTAGACTGGACTGTGGCGGGATCATCCCATCCCTCGGGACGAGGCTTCTAGCTTTTTTAATTTGAACAAGTTTCTTGGCCCGTCAGTGATTCTCTAACCTCGGATGACGCAAACGTCATGCAGTTGGCTGCAGTTTGGACCCTCTCAGCCACCATAGACTTTGCCATTCTTTAATATACCCCCGCCCCCATGCGCCAAGTCAGCTTTCTTTTGCACACACGTGTGAGCATACATATGTACCACGGCACACACGAGAAGGTCAGAGTACAATGTGTGGAGTTGATTATCTTCGTCCACACTGACTCCTGGGGCTCAAATTTAGGTGATCAGACTCGGTCAGTAAGCCTAATTCTTCCCTGGCCCTCTGCTTCAGCACTTGCTTCAATTTCCCATCATTTGTCAGGCCTACATTTGTCAGCTAAAATACACCTACAACAGGCGTCTGGATCCTTGCTTTTGACCCTTTGTTGAGGCACGGTCTCGGTTGTCTTTCTACTGCATCTGCCAGTCTAGTTGGCTGGAGAACGTGGGTCCCTGGTTTCAACCTCCACTCTGCAGGGACCGGTGTCCAGCCTTGAGGTGAGTTCTGGGGATTCAAATCCAGGTCATCACACCTACATGGTAAGCACTTTATCCACTTGGGTTTTCTCTCTGGCCCTCCCTTCTTTGAATATTGCTAGGTCTTTCTTTCTCTTCCTTCCTTCCTTCCTTCCTTCCTTCCTTCCTTCCTTCCTTCCTTCCTTCCTTCCTTCTTTCTTTCTTTCTTTTTTTAACACGGACTCCTACATAACCCAGGCTGTCCTGGAGCTTGCAGTCCTCCCAGCCCAGGCTCAAAAAGGTTGGGTTACAAGTATCTCCTTGGCTTTTCTTTGTGGATGAGGCCATCTGGACCGTATGTGTCTCACCCCAGCCTTTATCTACCCATGGGCCCCTCCTAGTTTCTCACAGTGGCAGCACTAGGCTGCAGCTAACCCTGCGGCAGCAAACTGTCAAGCAAACCAGCCTCATTGTTTGTTACTCCAGGAAGCTTCTGGTGGCTGCAAATGGCCTGGTCTGAAGGCTTCTATTATCCGCAGCTAATAAGCATGTGAAATCTGGAGGGTCGGGACAGCACCAGCCTAAGCCCTGGTCTTTATGGAGAGGCCTGACTACTTCAAGCCTTTCTGGTTAGGTCATTCTCACACCGTAGTGTTTAGATATGATGGAAAATGTTTAATACAGTGTTTCCTTTCTTCAAGTGTTTTTTGAAACAGCTTCCTGTAGCTCATCCTGGCTTATGACTCCCTATGTAGCCAAAGATGCCCTTGAACTTCTGATCTTGCTGCCTTTACCCACAAAGGACTGGAGTTGCTGCCATAAGCCATGAGCCTAGTTTTACAAAATGCAGCGAGCTCCATGGCTTTGGGCATACTAGGTGAGCACTGTTTCAACCATGCTACACCTTTTCTAGGATACTGAAGCCAAGTTCCACTATGTAGTCCAGGCCAGTAACCAATGTATAATTCTCCTGCCTCTGCTTCCCAGTGCCAGGAGTACAGGCTTGCACAACTGTGGCCCTTCTTCCTCGCCACTTCTACTGTTTGCAATGCTGCAGACGGGGCAAACAGCTCTGTCCTTGGTAGGCAAGCACTCTACTGCTGAGCTACACACCCAGCTCACAAACCAATGTTTCTTTAATTAACAGTAAATTAGTTATCTTTAAATTTACGTGTATATGCTTAATTTATGTGTATATACACCAGTGTGTCCAAGTGGTTGCAGAAGCTGGAGAGGGTGTAGGATCCCCTAGAGCTGGACTCAGAGACAGCTGAGAGCTACCTGATGTGTATACTGGGAACTGAACCCAGGTCCTCTGAAGAGCAGCAATTGTTTTTAAGTAGCAAGCCTTTTCTCCAACCTCTCTTCGTGTGTGTGTGTATATATATGTATTTTAATATTTGTTAAAAAGAAAGCTGAAGGGGATGAACACCCTTAATCCTGACACTAGGAAGGCAGAGGCAGGAGGATCTCTGAGTTCAAGGCTAGACTGGTTCTCAGAGCCAGTTCCAGGACAGCCAGGGCAACACAGAGAAATCTGGTAAATTTATCTTATAGGTAGTGTGTAGGAATCTGAGGTCAGAAGAGGGTGCCATGGCACTGGAGTTAAAGGTGTTTGTGAACTGCCATGTCAATACTATGTCTCTCAGAACACAGAAACAAGACATTGGCACCCAGCCTGGGCTTGATTGCACATGCCTATAATCCCAGCACTTAGGGTGGCAGATCTCTGTGTTAAAGGCCAGCCTGGTCTACAAAGCAAGTCCTGGACAGCCAAGGCTACACAGAGAAACCTTATCTCCGAAAACAGAAAAACAACAACAAAAAAGACATTGGTACCCATTCCTCAGGGCCACTCTGGTTGGTCCTTTAATACCACTCTTCTCCACAGCCAGGCTGACATATTTATTGGAAAAATTAAAAACACAAATGCAATGCATTATACAAAGAAAGGTCTTCATTCCATAATAAAAGTTGTTGGGAGGAAACAAGAGCCGGTAGCTACCTGCCCTGGGAAGGTAGGCACACAGTGAAAAGTGAAATTTACTTAGAGGGACTATTCTAATGGAAAATGGTGGAAAAGGTTAAAAATGTAAGGGAGAGGGCATAAACAATCGAAAACCAACCCCATCCCTGCATGTCTGAGAGTCTGTTATAAGCTTAAGATATTTAGGTTATCACCAAGATCCAACCGGATTCCTCGGTTTGTCCCTAGAATGGTAATCAGTTAGGGTCTTCAAACCTGAGGTAGTTGAGGGGCACCTGAAACACGTGTCTAGAAGGTTCTATGCTCACACCTGGATCCAGTCATGTCTAATCAAGCATTTGTGGCGTTGGCTCCTGGGAGAGGAGGCACTCTACCACTATGTTTGGTGGTCCTGCATTTGGCCTGGACATGGGAGCCAGGGTGGCAGATAGCTGTTCTGGACCACTGTTGAGGGCTGACAAGTGCGGTAGTGGTTTCCAATGTTACAGACAGCACAGTCTCTGAGAACCGCCACTCTGGCTGGAAGGCTAATATGGAGGATCCAAGATGGCAGAGAGGGCAAAGCTGTTCTGCTTGGAAGGTATGGAGACTCCAAGATCAGGAAGAGCAGGCAAAGCTCATTCTTGTTGGATGCCAACATGGAGGATGCTCAAAGATGGTGGAGAGAAGGCAATGCCCACTCTGGTTTGAAGGCCATTAAGAAGGTTCCAAGATGGCCGGGAGGGCAAAGCCATTCTAATTGGCAGTTAGTGTTGGGCCCAAAGACTTGCTTTTCCAGCAAGGTTCCCAGAGATACAGAAAGGCAATAATACAGAGTAGCACATTTGCCATCTATTAAAAACTAGGGTCAAACAGTGCCAGAGACCCTTCTACAACCAAGCTGATGACTAAGTAAAAACTTCCCTAGACAGAAGATGAGGACCAACTCCTCCTAAGATGAGAGGTCACATCACAGTAATGTGACCAGAATGACAAATACTTGTGACCTCAGGTTACCTGGCACAAACCCTGGTGCCTGACTCGGCATCCACACCAGTTCTAAGAAAAGGTGCCCTGGAGGTGTCTGGTCCTCCGAGCTACTGGGCTAAGGGTTTAAACACACGGGACTCTAGAAATAGTGATGTGGTGAGTACAATCAACAAGCCATTTACATTAGTCTTTTTTTTTTTTGAGATAAGGTCTCAGAATATAATCCAGGCTAGACTTGAACTCACAACCCTTCTGCCTCCAATTCCCAAATGCTGGGAGTACAGGTGTGCACTGACAAGCCTGGTATAGTTAATAAACTCCTTGCTCAGCTATGACCTGACCCCACAAAGGCATACATGTGCTTAATCTCGATGACCGGAAGACTGCAATACCGTTAAATATGAGACACGACTGGACATGAGCTTCCTCTTCACCCCACCCTCAGCCATTATTTTGTCAATCTTCTGTCTTTAAAAAGAAGTACTTTTTAAGAATTATTTTCACTTAAAAGTCATGTATCCACATGACTGCATGCCACCAGTGGAGGGCATCGGATCCCTTGGAGCTGGAGTTAGAGGCAGTTGCAGGCCACATGATGTGGGCACTGGGAACAAAACTTGGGTCCTCTGGAAGAGAGGAAGTGCTCTTAAATGCCAGCCTCTCTCTGGCCCCTCAGTTCCCTGTCTTGAGGGTCTGGCTACACCCCTGCAGCACACTTTAGTCTAAGGAGCCTCAGGCTATAAAAGGCTGTGTGTCTCCTTTTGAGCTATAGGGATTTTCAGAGTTTGGTTTGTCCAACCACTGAGTTAAAGACTCATGTTTAGGTAACAGCAGAGCCAATAAATTATGGCCTAAGTTGGGTGAAATGGCTCACACCTTTAAACCCAGCATTCGGGAGGCAGAGGAAATCTCTTTGAGTTCAAGGACAATGAGGTGTACAAAGCTAGTTTGAAGAGGCCAGCCAGGGCTATGCAGTAAGACCCTGTCTCCAAAGACCACTTATATCCAAGACTGTCCTGCTTCAGTCTCCCGAGTGCCCAGATGACAGGCATGCACTAGCAAGCCTGGCTAGAAAAAGGCAGTTTCTGACTTGAGTTACTACAAAGTACTGATGGGACATCAAGCAGGTAGGGAGGACCCAGAGTTCACTAAGGTTTTTAAAATGACGATGGCTTTCCAGACAGGTGTGTTATTCATTCAGAGTCCTGATCTACTGACCCTAAAAGCAAGGGCTACCTAGTTACTTTTGGAACAGCTGACCTATAGTGATCACGTGGGTTGGCTTGATTGGCACAAATGGGCCAACAATGCCACACATTGCTTGTTCTGGTCCTTGGACTCAAGAAACTCTAAGCAGAGATACAGTCTTCTGGTATCAGAATGGGCCGCTTCTGCTCCCAATAACTAACTAACTCCTTTTGCCCAATGTGAAGGTCACATGTCTCAGCAGTCATCTGGGTTTCTGGGAGTTTTTGGAGTGCCCACTGAGAAAACACCTGGGGACAGAGTGGAGGTGGGTGTAGCAGGAAAAGGGGGGTTAATTCACAGTGATCAAACATTAGTCTCACAACCCATTACCCAGCAATGCTGAACCATGCCCCAGTGGGGACAGGCTCAAGGAACTGCCCGCTGGCTGCCGCCTATGCATTCACTAGAGATAAAGAAGGAAGAAGCCATCTGTCTGTCCCACCCTACAGATCAGAAGGTCACTTAATTCAGGGGGTCCATCTGGGAGTTGCAAAGTGCCATCTGGTTTCTTGTGTCTAGGTGGGATGCCCTCTGTGTGTGCCCACCCTGTCTGCACAGGAGCAAGAGTGGGTGGGTGGTGGTGGGTACAGTGGGTACAGTGCCAATGGTCCCTTTCTCCTTTTCCCTGCTCCTCGGTGCTTTGAGGAACTGGCCTCCTTTGGGAATCCGAGCCTGGAAATGACCAGGGTTTGGCCCTTTAACCTTGTGCATGATTTGTGAAGAATGATGGCAGAGGGCAAGCCTGGTCAGTCAGCCTCGGTCCTAATTGCCCCAAGCATCTCTGGGGCAGACACTGTGTGAAGATTGTTAGTAATAAATACATACAAAGAGTCCTACACCGAGCAGAGGCCTTTTCCTGATGGAAGCAAGTGGGTCTGTCAGATAAGTAGCACACAGAACCATCTCTTTCTGGTTCAATAGGATGCAGAAGCAGGCCAGCAGGGGAAGGCCCCACTTCTGGTCCTTTATATTTGTCCCTCTTAGGGCCTTGCCTAGGTTTGACGAGAGGTGACCTCAGTGACATGGCACAGGAACTTTGCTCGGGGGATGTAGTGTTGCTGTTCACACCAGCTCCATTCCAGCATGTGACAGGAGGTGAACCTGCTCACGGGAGCTCCTAAGAAATCTGCCTCCTGAACAGCTGCACCCCTGTAGTTTTTCTTTTTCTTCTTCTTTTATTTTAAACTCTGGTGCTCCCTGGCTTGTAAAGGTGGAAAGAGGCCTTGGGCTGGCATCAGGGTCAGAAAGTAAAGGCACTAGCTCTGCTTCAGACTTCCAAGGAGAATTGTTACCCTGTGGGGTAGCCTTGGCTGACACAGGGCTGAGCTGGAGCACCACGGCATAGCCTGAGCCGCACCATGGTGTGTGTGGGGGCTTTCCTTCTCAGAAGGCTCAGAGCTCAGGGTGGGGCGGAGGGTTGGAACCCTTCTTGGGAAGGTTGGCTGTGTGAAACTTTCGAAACAGGAAACCAAAAGAGCCGATTGGCCACCTAATGATAAGCAGGAAGGAATCCATCCAACTGCCAAAAGTGTGGTGTGGCGGGAAGAACCGTTGCTTTGGTGTTACTGGCCAGGCCGGCTGTCCTTCTGGCCATGGATTCAGGCAGCGGTCTGGTTTGGAATCCAACGGAGTCCAGATGCTCACAAGTTTGTGCAAATGACAAAATGCAAAAGACTGAGGAGGGGGGAAAAAAAGAACAGGTGTAAGATGTCCCCTCTCCAAGTTCCCGTGACAAGACAATGACAAGAATCCTCTCTTAAGGGGGACACGACTGGTGAGAAGTGGATATTAGGCAAGGCAGGATGGCCATGTTGCTGTTTTTCTGTGGATCTGAGCTTGCTCAGGGCCGACCCTGGTCTGCCTTATGCCAGGGACACGGGAAGAACTCATCATGCACGAGGAAACATGACGGCCTTCAGCTTTTGTCAATGGAGAGGTCTGCAAGGGACCTGGAGTGCCATGGTGGGATCAGCACAAACAGAAGGGGAACAAGGATTTACACTCTGATGCATTGGACGTTGGCTTGGCTCTATTCTTTTTCGGGTATTGCTTCTTGAACAGTAGAAGGTGATGCTTCTGTCCCTAAAAACAACAACAACAACAACAACAAATCACAGGGAACCTCATGTATACATGAACACATGCAGCAGACTGTGGGCACATAAGCTTCTCAAGCTCATGACTGCCATACAGCGGTGGCATTAACTATGTCCAAGAATAGGGATCATGGTGATGGATATATGCTTAGTTACTAGGGTTTGTCAAATTCTTATAAGCAACAACAATCTTGCCTGTGATGGACTGAACCACTTTGGACATGCAAGAAGCTGTATACAGCAGCAGGTCTCTGGGCTGGGACAAAAGACAGCTCTCCAGAGTCAGTCCCCTCTTTCCCAGTTAGGTTCAGGAATCAGGGTTCATTGAAATATTCTAGTCGCGTGGTCTACTGCTGATGGAAGAATCCAAGGGCAAGCGTCCCAAAACCCAGCGATATCCCTAGCTAAGCCAGCCTCCCCCTACTCCCTATACGCTTTCTTTTCTAGCCATCTGTAGACCAGGCTGGCCTGGAACTCAGAGATCCACCTGCCTCTGTTCTTAAAAACTGTGTGTGTGTGTGTTTGTGTGTGTGTGTGTGTGTGTGTGTGTGTGTGTGTGTGTGTGTGTATTGGTGTTTTGACTGCATGTATAGTCTGTGTGAGGGGGATCCCTGAAACAGGTGTTACGGACAGTTGTGAGCTGCCCTGTGGTTGCTGGGAATTGAATTCAGGTCCTCTGAAAGAGCAGACAGTGCTCTTGGCTCTTGACTGCTGAGCCATCTCTCGTTTCCTTAGCCTTTTTTTTACTTTCCATTTTTAAAAGAGTCTTAAGTTGCCTACATTGGCCTTGAATTCATTTTGTGGAATGAAGATGGCCTCAAACCTTCAATTTTTTTTTTTTTTTTTTTTGGTCTCAGACTCCAGGATAGTTGGGAATACAGGCAGGTGCCACCAGACTAAGCTTGGGGGTGTGTCTGAGTATTTTTACATTCCATTCATCCTCTTAAGTCTGTTCACTTTTGGGCATTGTGGCCTTTAAAAAATTATTATTACTTTTTTAATGTGTGCATGTGCATTGGAGGTGGTGGTTCAGTGTTAAGAGCCCCAGAACCCACAAGACGGAACTGTGCTCACACCCAGAAAATAAAAATAAATCTTTAAAACAAAAACAAAAAACTACCCCAAAAACAAAAAGACAAGAGGACACTGCAGTGACACTGGTCAGTTTCCTGATCAGCTTAGAGGTTTTTATAACATTGTTTGTTTGACTATGTAGCTGAGGGTGGCCTCAAATTCCCAACCTTCTTGCCTCCATCTCCCAAGCACTCGGCTCAGAAGTATGCAACACCCACATTACCGAGGAGGCTTTGAAGAGCAACAACAAAAGCTTTTTAATTCTCCATGACGCAGACCCCGGCTTTAGGCTTACAGGCTATTTAGGAATGGAAAGAGGAGAGAAAGGGCAGGCCAGAGGGTCCTGCTCTGTTTCGGGAAGGCCCATCCCTACTACGTCACGGTCAGTAAACACCCACGGTGGGCTTACCTTCTTCCCAGCCCTCGGCGACGCCGGCCAGCTCGTAGTGTTTCTTCCGGAGCTCTCCCAGCTTCTGCCGCTCCTTCTGAAGGTCGTTTTCCAGCTCTAGCACCCTAACCTGTTAGCAAAGGGAGTGAGAGGTTGGGGATTGAAGCCAGTGTCAAACTCATGCTGAATGTTCTACCAATGAGCTGTGTTCCCACCACTGTATCTCTCGGTCTCTGTTTCTCTTTTCAAGTGTTTGTGTGTGAGGTTCGATCTAGGGCCTCGTGGACGATAGGCAAGTGGCACGCTCCAGCCCCTCACCGGGGATTCTAGGCAGGTGCTCTAAGACCAAATGACATGGAGCCCTTGTAATGGTCCTTTGAACTTCTCTGGGACTTGTCTTCTTTAGATTTAACCAGGTCTCTCTGTGTCTCAGATTCCCTCTTCCATCATGTCCATCCCATTTCCATAGCTTATTTAAATGTCACTTTACTGACCGATCTATCTCCCCAGCTTGAGACAGCCTTTTACATCACAACCCAGCTCCTAGTTTAATTCCCCTTTTAGACCGGGTTACATGAGCCAGACTAGCCCAGGAACCAGGCTCGTTCCTCCACCACCGCAGTGCCAGGATTGCAGATACACAGTGCAGCATTTAGCCTTCTCTACCCTTTTCCCTTTTAACTTTTGTTTATATGAGGGAGGCATATGCAAGTGAGTGCCGGTACCCACAGAGGCCGCAAGGTGCTGGTTCCCCAAGAACTGGAGTCGCAGGTTGTTGCGACAAGTTCTCGCAGCTGCTGGGTCAGCGCTGCCATTCTTTTTAACAGGGTCTTGTTATGTAGCACACACTGGCCTCAAACTCACAGCAGTCCTCCTGCCTCAGCTTCCCAAGTGCTGGGATTATTACATGCATGCCCACACCAGGCTTCACTTTCCCCCAGTTATTCCGTCTCTCTGGCTTCTCCCCTTGGGAACAACACTTGAGGCTGATGTGCGGGCAGGGGAGACAGCCAGCCTTAGACGTGGCCATGGTTTTCTCACCTGGGAATCCATCTCCTGGCGCTTGATCTGGGTCAGTGTCATGCTTGAGAAGTCCATACTATCTGCAGGGATGGATGGAGGAAGAGCCAGTCAAATGATGTCAACTGCGAGGACAATGGCAATCCCCCACCCCCACCACTGCAACGCCTGCCATGCCCTTTGCCACCATAATGGTCCCAAGCTGAACTGTCCCTACAGGCTCCTCTGTGGAGCATTTGTTCCTCAGCTGTTGGTGATATTTTGGGAGGAAGTAAAATGTTTAGTAGGTTGGGCCCGGCTGGGAGAAGGAGGTCCCTAGAGGCATGCCTTTTTGTGTGTGCACATTAGCATGTATACAAGGGCACATCATGTATGTGTGTGAGGTCAAAGTCATCTTTAAGGTGTTGTCCTTAGGGGCTGACCACTGTACTTTCGTTCATTAATTTGCTTATATTCTCCTCCACCCTGTTTTGTGAACCAGGGTCTGTCATAGACCTGGAGCTCACCAAGCTGGCTAGGCTGGCCGGTCAGCGAGCTCCAGGGACCCCCCGTGCCCCCCTCCCTGCACGGAGATTACAGCAACGCTCCACCACCATGCCCGGCTTTTTTATGTGGGTTGGCTTCTAGGGGTCAACTCAGGTCCTTGTGTTTGCATAGCAACCACTCTACTGACTGAGCAATCTCTCCAGCCTGAGACAAGCCCATTAAGGTTACAGCCCAGTCCGTAGTTCCGGCTGCCCATTGGCCAACTATAATGTGAGCAAGCTCCGCTTTACCTCACACTCTGGCTGCCAAAGTGTTTTGCTTGGGCTCATGAGCCAAGCAACCATGAATAAAACCCTCTGAAAGTGTGAGCCAAAATAGCCCCCCCCCCCCCACAGCCTTAAGTTTCTTTCAGGATTATATTCACAGGGATGCACGAGTCACTCATACACAAACACACATGTGAATGCCCAGAGGACAGAAATGAAGGAAGGCTGGGATTACAGGATGTGAGGGCTAGTTTATTACTTTTTTTTTTTTTTTTTTGAAACAGCTAAGCATGATAGTGGATGCCTCTAATCCTAACACCCAGGAGACATAGGCAGGCAGATCTCTGTGAGTTCCAGGCCAGCCACTATATACTGAGCCCCCACCTAAAATAAATAAATAAACTTAAAAAACAAAACAAAACAAAAAAAACCCAAAAGCACAAACCCCCAAAACAACAACAATTATCTATGTATATTTAGAGGACAACACAGTGGTCTTCCCAGTGACCATACAGGTCCAGGAGATTGAACTTGGATGTCAGCCTTGGTGACAAGCATTCTTCCCAGCGTGAGGGATCACCTGCAGCATCCCCATGGGAACAGGCCTCGGGGGCATGCTTGTGGAGGGGCTTCCAGACTCGGTTAACTGAGGTATAAAAACCTACCCTGGATATGTGTTTGGTCCTCAAATGAATTAATAAGCAGAAAGTGGAAACTAGGTGTGATCGCTCATGACCCTGGCAGTCTGGGAGCAAGAGTAGGAGGAGCTCTATGAGACTGAGGGCAGCCTGAATACATAGTGTGTTCCAAGGCAGCCGGGGCTACACAGTGAGACCCCATTTCAGAAAAAGACAGACAGACGAAAAGAGCAAGAGCGAGTAAGAGAGAGACAGAGAGAGGGGTCGAGCTGAGCACCAGCATTCACCTGCCCTCTGCTTCCTGACTGTGGTTGCCATGTGACCGGTCGCCTCACGCCCCTGCTGCCAGGACTTCCCAACACCATGAACTGTACCTTCAAACCATGAGCCAAAATAAATTTAATTTCTTTTTTGGTTGTTGTAGTTTGTTTGCTGGTTATTTTTTTGTTTTGTTTTGTTTTGTTTTTTGGGACAGGGTTTCTCTGTGTATCCCTGGCTCTCTTGGAACTTACTCTGTAGACCAGGCTGGCTTGAACTCAGAGACCTGCCTGCCTCTGCCTCCCAAGCACTAGGAGTAAGTGTGTGACAGAACCACCTGGCTAACTTTTTTTTTGTTAGTGCCAGCGTGTACATACAGGTGCCATGCTATGTGAGTAAAGGCCAAAGAGAGTGAGTACACTCATGTTCCATCATGTGGGTACTGGGCTTTGAACTCCCGTCATCAGACTTGGCAGCAGTTACCTTTATTCTTTGAGCCAGCTACCAGCCCAAATCCTTCCTTTTAGAAAGGTGCTTTTAGGGGCCAGGTGTGGTGGTACACATCTTTAATCCCAGAATTCAGGAGGCAGAGGCAGACTGATCTCTCTGAGTTGGAGGCCAGTATAGGCTACAAAGAGAATTCCAAAACAGCCAGGGTTCTGCTACACAGAGACACCTTGTCTCAAAAAATGGGGTGGGGGGTATGGGTGGGGGAGGGAGAAAGAGAGCTGCTTTTAGATCTTTGGTCTGCTCACAAACATGAGAAAATTAACTAATTCACAGGTAACCGGGGTCTGATTCTCTGGGGATAACTAGACTTGTAGAGAATTTTATCTGATCTCAGAGAAGCAGTGTAAGGAAAAATCTACTTAATAGCCTGGCGCTGTGGGAATATAAAATCACAGTTTTATGACATCCTGCCTTAGGAGATCAGACAGGATGTAAAAAGACCAAAAGAACAACTGGCTTCGCACACGCCAGAGAAGCACTCTACTAACTGAGCGACGCCCCTAGCTGCCTATATCCTTCCTATATCCTTGTAGAGTGTGTCTACAAAGGGCAGTGTGAGGTGGTACATGCCTTCAACTCCTGTACTCAGAAGGCAGAGGCAGGTGGATCTCTGAGTTCAAGGCCAGCCTGGCCTACATAGTGAGGTCCTATCTCAGAGAGACAAAGAGACAGACAGACACACACACAGATAGAAAGAGAGCAAGAGAATCAATATTGGAAGAGACTTATACATATCAGTATACACACCTGCACGCACAACACATATTCAAAATGGAAAATAAAATAAAAATAAAAAACAGAACTAAATTGAGATCATGGAGAAAGAGATGTAGACTGTGAAGGCTACCTGTCTCCTCAATCTGAGATTTGCCGGAAATGGTAGAGGCCACCACAGCGGCTGTGGCCTGGTTCACTCCCCGAGAGGCCTGCTGCAGCTGGGTCAGATTGAGGCTGTCCTTGTTAGCTTTCACCTGCCGGGACAGACGACAATGGTGTTCACACTACATCAGAAGCAGCAAGCATAGGACTGAAGAGCTGGCCTGATGTGCTCAGGAGAGTGAATGCTGTCACCAGTCGGCCTCCCAAAGTCACTGTTGCCTGTGGGACCAGCCCCTGACATGTCTAGAGTAAAAGTGACCCCTGGCATATAGGTTGGATTAGCCTACACTCTGGCTTGCATAGTTATCTGCATGAACTCTTCCATGTGTAGGAAAAAAGAACTTGGAATCCTAAGAAATAAGGGAGGGATAAAGAATACTTCAGGGGGTTCCAGCTCACTGCTGGGCTTGAGGATTAAATGGGGCAGTGGTTCATGTTCAGAGACAAAGAAGGGACAGATTAGTGGTTATATAGACTCTAAAGGCCAAGTCAGGTGACCTATAGACCGTGCCAAGCAGCTCCACAGTAGCCTTGGCTGGCCTGGAGCTTGCTATATAAGCCAGGTTGGCCTCAAACAGATCCTTCTTTTCTTGTATTTTATTTTTTTGAGACAGGGTCTCACTATGTAGCCCTGGGTGTACTGAACTCACCGAGACCTGCCTGTCTCTGCTCTCTGAGTGTGGTGATTAGAGCTTGCGTCTCCATCACCACACCTGGGGAACAGATGCTTTTTTCATCTTTGGATACTAGGGACATAACCAGGGCTGTGTGCTTGCTAGGAAGGTGCTCCAGCACTGAGCCACATCACTGGGGGGATTCTAGGCAGGTGTTCTACCATTGACCATGGCCCCTGACCCTTACCAGCAGATCTGAGGCAATTACTCTGACACTAAACTGTAACATCAGACAATTTAAAATTACTTTTTATTATTTATGCAGTGCTTGTGTGTAGGTGTGCATGTCAGGGTGTGCATGTGGAAGTCAGAGAGAGAACAACTCTTGGGAGTCATTTGATTCTAGCATGTAGGTCCCAGGGATCAAACTCAGATCATCAGCTTTGGTAGCAAGTGCCTTTCCCCGGCTGAGCCATCTCACTGATCCCTGTTTAAATTTTTTATTAGGAGCCAAAGTCTTATTAGGTTGGCCCTAATTCACTTTAAGCCCAGGCTAGACTTTAACTTTTAATTCTCCTGCCTCATCTTCCAAAGTAGCTGGGATGACAGGCCATGTCATCTGTTTCACCTGAATGCTCCTTGAATGATGGCAATAATACAAGGATGACATGCCTGGGACCCTCAAAAGCTACCTAACGATAGTGACAGGAACACTAAGGCATGCATGTGATGAGCTGGGAGGAGCTCCTTGTTGGCATATATTAGGGTTTGTTTGTTTGTTTGTTTCAGACATTTTTTTCTCTGCATAGTTCTGGTTGACCTTGAACTCAGAGATCTGCCTACCTCAGTCTCCTGAGAGCTGGGATTAAAGGCATGCTCCATCATCATCTGGCATATATCAGGCTTTTAAAAGAGGGTGCTATGGAACCCTTGAGAGGCAGAATATTTATTCGGGACGCCACCAAGCAGGACTATGGATTATCACCTGTCCCTGAGGTCGCTTCCATGGCTCAAGTCCTCTTTAACTCAGAAAGGTCTTACAGTGTGCTGGAGTGTCCAGTACCAGCTGGTCCTACCTTGGATCCAGCCACAAGCTGTGCTGTGCTGGCAGCAATCTCATGTGAGCATACCATCAGTTCCTCAAACTTCCCTTTGCCTTGGACCACAAGATCAGCAGCATCCCTGAGAACCAAGAATCATGAAGGATGAAGTTACAGAGAGCATAAACTATCATGACCCCACTAACCCCTCAGTCACTGGCTACACAGAAAAGGCAGCTTACATACCTGCCTACAGCTTATTTTTTAAGATATTGTTTTTTAAGACAAGTTCTCACTATGTAGCTCTGGCTGTCCTGGAACTCATTCTGTAGACCAGGCTGGCCTGGAACAGAGAGCTCCACCTGCCTCTGCCTCACTAGTGCTGAGATTAAAGGCATGCACCACTATGCCTGGCTGAGACACTGTGTCTTAATGAGACTTGGAGCTGACAGATTAGGCCTAGATTGGCTAGCTAGTGAGTTCCAGGAAGGACTTCTTGGGCCAGGCATGGTGTCACACATCTTTGATCTAGGACTTCTTTGGCCGGCATGGTGTCACACAGCTTTGATCCAAGCAGTTGGGAGACAGAGGCTAGTGGATCTCTATGAGTAAGCCAGCCTGGTTTACATAATGAGTTCCAGGCTAGTCAGGGCTACACAGAGAGACTCTGTCTTAAAAACCGAACAGACCCAACACCAACAAAAGAAACTTTTTGAAATGATTGGGTCTTGAACCAAGGGGCAAACACAAGCTCATCAAATGATCTACCACTGATCTACCTCAGTGGCACTGTAAATTCTGTTTTTACACTAGCCCAGGGTGGCCTCTAACTTGTTATACTTTCGACTGAGCCCCTTAAGTGCTGGGACTACAGGTGGGTGGGTACCGCCATGCCTGGCTATGAGAATGGTGCTTTTTTCTCTCTCAGCAACTGTCTGGGGTGGATCCATGGGATGGCGAAGGGGGCGTGCGGCACCTTGGAGCCAGACACTTACACCATGATGGTTGCTCCCCAACCAACAGCTTTGGAGGCAGATATAAGCCCTTCTGTCCACCGGGAGTTCTTCGCGTAAAATTCTTTAGGGGATGCAGTGCCCTATAGAATCAAAACATAAAAGAGCTTAATTGTTTTTATTTGATTTGATTTTGAGACAGGGTTTCTGTGTATCCCTGGCTGTCTTGGAGCACACTCTGTGGACCAGGTTGGCCTTGAACTCAGAGATCTGCCTGTCTCTGCCTCCTGAGAGCTGGGATTAAAGATGTGCACCACCATGCCCAGACTAATTTTAATTTTTTAACATATTTCACATGAGTGTTTTGCCTGCATGTATATGTACCGTATGTATGCAAAGGCAGGAAGAGGGGGTCAGATTCCTGGATCTAGAGTTACAGATGATTGTGAGCCTCCACACGGGTGCTGGGAACTGAACCCCGGTCCTCTACAAGAACAACAGTGCTCTCAACCAATGGACCACCTCTCCAGACTGCATTATTTGTTGCTATTTCCCCAATTTTTGGTCTTCCTGCCTTAGCCTCCCAAGTGTACCACCATACCGCAATTTTTGAAAAAAATTACATTTATTGAGGGGGGTCCCTGAAGGTGTCAGACAGGAAAGTGAACCATATGAAGAGATGAGAATAAAAGCCCAGTGCTGACTGACCTTGTCAACCTGGATCAGACTTCTGGAGTCCAGTGCCAGGCGGTTCACTGTCAGCATATTTAAAACACAGTACAATTGGGGAAGAGGTTTCCAGGCAACTAAGAGTCCAGTTCCAGGTGCACAGTAAAACTTATGGCGTGGCTACATAGAAACTTCTATGTTCTTCTACAAGTACATGTGACCACGAGGGTGGGTTCTAGAGCTGAAAGGCCTAGAGTTTAGTGTGGTCTCTGACCTACAGGAGATCAGCAAGCCAGAGTCCATGTGACATCTTCCCCAAGAATGGGTAACGCTTAGGGAGGGGAGAGTCTGGGTAACTATTCTGGGGAATTTGGGTGAGGTCACCCTCCACAGATAGCAGAGAGGTCACCAGGTCATTAACAGTCAACTTCCACCTTCCTGGATGGAATGAGGTATCTCCTCCATTGAGGAGACACCCTGTATGATTAGCATTTCTGGTTCTCTCAGTGCTTCTCTGTGGGTACAAGAACCTCTATGCCCCCAACAATTTATTTATAGATTCTGCATGCACATGTGTGTGTGGGTGAACATGCCCATGCCACGTGTGAAGGTCAGAGGTTGGCTCTATCCTTCCACCTACACATGTGACTTGGAGACTGAACTCAGCTTGTCAGATGCCCCACTGAGGCAGCTCACTGGCCCAGTGCCCAGCCACTAACAGCTAAGTGTATAGAATACCTACCAAGTGCTAAGTGCCTTTACTGTCACTTCATGGATAAGAAAACTAAGGTACAAATAGGCAAAATAACAACCCTAAGGCCATGGAGATAATGAAAAGTAAAGAAGACTCATTTTTTAACTTTTAATTATGTGTTTGTGTAAGAAAGTGCAGGTGGGGCTGGCGAGATGGCTCTGCTGTTTTTTAAAAGCACTGGCTACTCTTCAAGAGGATCCAATTTCAGTCTCCAGCACCCACATGGCAGCTCACAAATGTCTATAATTCCAGTTCCAGGGGATCCAACACCTTTGTACAGACACACATGTAGGCAAAACACCAAAGCACATAAAATAAAAATAAATTATTAAGAAAGAGAGAGAGAGAAAGAGAGAAAGAAAGGAAGGAAGGAAGGAAGGAAGGAAGGAAGGAAGGAAGGAAGGAAG